CGTGCAGGACTTTGCAGTTCTAAGATGCAGGAACACATGAAGGATGGCAGAGATGCCTAAATCAGTAAGGATCAGCAAGGTCCAGGACAAAAGAAACCAGCATCCCTTCACTCAGGAGGCACAATGATGAAACAACGATGTCCAGCAAATGGCAATGCCAAAGCTGCCATGAATGGGGGCACAGCCCCTCTCCTCAGCTGCCACAGGATGACTGCTGCCACAGCACTGGTCTCTGGGGCTAGAGCAGTCACTGGAGGTGGGGGGAAGCTCTCAGTTCCTTTCTCAGCTCTAGGACTAAAATAAGCAGCTTGAGGGTGACAGAGGCCAGCTGTACCATAACTTTCTTTCCAGCTGGTTCCTTGCTTGAGCTAGGTAAAGGCCTGAATTCAAATTTCTTCTGGTGTGGCTGGAGCAGGGATTGAAATGCAAGATGAAAGGCCTAACCTAAGCAGATGGGAAGTCCCTCACAGTAACACAGAGGCAGGCTGTTCTCTGGCCTGGAGAGGCAGGAGCGGTTCCCAGGAACAGGGCAGCCTGAGACCTGGTCTGCCCAGTGTGCTCAGATGGGAAAATAGGAGAGGCCAATGAGCAGGAGGAGGACAGGAAAGTCCTCATCTTCTGCTTTACGTTACTGAGGCATTGGCAAAAGAGGGACGTGCTGCAGGAGCCCAGAGACTGGAACCCAGGATGGATGTAGGAAAGGCAAGAGCACAAGGGAATGGGCCACGCAGGGCAGAACTGAAGCTGACACCATCTTCCCACCCCCATAAATCTTACTTTTCTCGCCCCTCCACAGCACATGCTGAAGGGATGGTTGGCTCAGCTGATAGCATGGTGGAAAGGGTGTTGCCTGACGAAAGGGGACCTGTGGTTCAAGTCTCCAGTCGTGGATGGAACCACTTTGAATGGCTCGGCTCCCCCAGTTCCTCACTAAGTTACTCCCCATCCCTTCAGGTGCTCACCCAGCAAATGAGCAACCCCAACCCAGGCCCCCTCCCTCTCAGTCTGAGGGGAGTTTAACACAACTCCTTACAGGGTGTGAGACCTGGGACAGGTGAAGGCCATGGGCTTAAAAAAATAAGCCTGCAGAGATCCCAGCAGCTGCCAGATCAGAACCCAGGCTTCCCATTTGCAGCGTAAATGCCCAAGCCCCAGCAACAAGCAGCTCACAACCCACATCTCCACTGTGAAAGGCAGATGCCCGAGTCCTTAGACTACCAGGCCAGAGCCCTAGTCGCCACTCCTACTAACAGGGACAAGAGGAACAAGACGTCTCTAGGTTGATGAAGCAGAGCCAGTCCCCTGACACAGGTCAGCCTGAGACCCTGCTTGTCCTGCCTGCTGTAAGAGAGGCAGAGGAAGGGATCTGAATTGAGGTCTTTGCATTTCCCAAGCAAGAAACTAGCCAGCCAGCCTGTGGAAGCCAAGCTCCTTCCAGGAAGAGGAACACAGCCCATTTCCCCCCTGCCAAGCCAAATGCACCAGGCTGGAGGTAGCCCCAGGCTCGCTGCACCCTGGCGCAGTGAATCTGCTGCACCAACTCAAGGGCCAAGTACCTGTTCGTAAGATGGGTAGTGCACCGGATGGACCAAGACATTGGGAAAGCAGATAACCAAGGCTGCTGCACTCTCTGTGTTTGGGTTGCTCTGGACTGTGCCCATGGGATTCAACAGCTCCCCTTTCTCATCTGAAAAGGAAGACAGGCAGACATCACGAGGCTGGATTCCCCTGTGTAGTGAAGGGGTCAGCAGGAGAAGCAGCATGGTTCTAATTCTAGCTCTGCCAGTGACCTATTCTCCGGCCTTGGGCACATCACTTCATTTGCATGCGTCTCATTTCCCACTCCATCTTTGACCTGTCCTATATGCTTCAACTGTGAGCTCTCTGGGACATTGGCTGTATCTTACCAGAAGCATATAGCTCTGAGCTGATCTTGATGAGGCCTCTATGTGGCACTGCAATATCAATACCTAATAACAGAGCCACACCTCCAGTAGACAGATATTAAACTGAAATAGCTCTGTACTTCTGCTGCCCTTCTTACCATCCTCTGGACACTAACACACAAGGCAGGCTGTTGTCTCTCCTTGTGCTTCCACCCCGCCTGAACAACAGAAAGCTCCAGTTTGTGACGTACCTGGGAATGATGACCACATATGCAGACAGCACTCTCCTGCTTTTAGCTGGTCCTTGTAGTCAAAAAGCATGACATTCACCCAAGCTATTGGGCAGTCCTGCAGAAGGAACACAAGGTTGGTCAAGATGAAATTCTTCCAGGAGCCAGCTGCTGGAGGGAGGAGGGTTAGCAAGGAAGTACAAACACAGGCACCATAAAATATCAAAAAATTAGAGCCCTATGATCTCCCCCTTGCTCCCTTTAGGAACCACCATGACCTGGTAAACTTCCATTTGTAGAAAATATAGACATCACTTCACCCATCACTGGAGTGCAACTGTTTCTGGGGTGGGACCAGCAGAAAGCACTTCACATGAAGAGCACTGTGCCTAACAAACTGCACTGGGAGGAAGGGAGGGAGGCAGAATGTAGTTCACGAAGTTGGAAGTTGACCAGGCAAAAAGGACTGGCATTCCTATCTTTGAGAAAAGTCCCAGGAGATGCAGCTCACAAGCAGCAGGGACTTCAGAGAGAGTTATCATCCAGAAGCATGTCTCTTCCTAGCACTGCCTGAAGTATTGGTTCGGTATAGCTAAAACCAGACAGTCATCCACAGAACACCGACCCTGATGCTGCATAGCACTATCAAAAACAAAGCATCACCACATGCCTGGTACTTCAATGCTTGATAACAAGCATGCTTGGAGAACCTCTAGATTTCCAGGAAGACCTCTCAACCCTGGATCCCTCACTAAAATGTAAATCCTTGGTGGCAACCTAAGTACTTTATGCATTTCCAGACCTCCTGCTAAGCTATGCTAGTATGGGAAACAGTTCAGCTGTAATGGACTCAGAAACCTGGATATGGAGATAAAGTCAGGTATGTCAGATCAATGGGGAAAATTTTATTATTTAGTAAGTACGCCGTTCGTAGCTTTAGTATAACAAAAAGAGCTTTTCTTCCACAGAGGAAAAAAAAAATTTTATAAATGGAGCAGGCAGAAATAATACAACCTAACACACAAGACCATCCTCCCCTACTGCAGTTACACTAATGACATGATTTTGCTCATTCAGTTTTTCAGCAACATAGTTTGGCCAGCATCACGGTTCCAGCAGCACCAGCACTATTGTAGCATTCGGCCTGGTCAGTCAGAAAGCAAGTTAACACAGAAGCTGACTTCCCAAGATAGCGAGAGGGGGCAGAGATCTAGGAGATGAAGTTATCACTATGGTCAGTACTGACCACTTGAGTGAGAATACACACACACACGCAGATCAGATTTGAAAGAAGCCACAAAAAGACCTTTACTGTCCCTCCACCGTGATGTCCTGAAGAAAACATTAAGGCTTCCCTGGAAGACATGGACAGGGATTTCATTTGCAGGGGAGATAGGAACACCTGCTCTTTTCCTAGCATAGCACACATGAATCACTTCTGACCGACTTCTTGCAAGCCCCCAGCCCACACCACTGACCTAACTGGACTCTTAGGTATCTTCGGCATGATCCCATTTGCTGCGATACCTTCCAGTCTCTGATGGGGAGCCAAACACAACGGCAAAACCCTTCCTATCAAACCAAAACACAGTGTGGAGGCTCCAAAACAGCAAAGCAAGGTATCCAGTGGAGAAGGGCCAGAAAATGATGATGACTCAACATCTTCTAAGTAAGGACAAAAATACTTTTCACGTGATTCAGAGGCAATGAAACAAACCAGAAGGGCACTAACCGTATCACTCATTCTTGTTAAGTGTGCATGATCAATGCTTCTGAGTAGCAAATGATTCAGCCCCATATTTCTGCTTCCAGACAGTGCAGTCAGAGCTATCCAGGTAGTTCATGTAATACTGTAACTTCATAACTGCACTGAGATGAATCATCAACAAGCAAGAAGCCAATGAGGAACTGTGCAAAGCATCAGGGCATAAGGCTGGGACTTGCAAAGAAGCATAAGGAAATTGGACATCTAATTCACACCGACTTTTCAATGAGTTTTGAGTACTTAACTTCCTTAGATGTCTTTAAAAATCTCAGCCTGAAAACACACAGGTAAGCAAACTGTGCAAAGCTCAGCTCAAGCCAGCACTATAGATCTTACAGTGGAAATCAGCCTTTCCTGCTTTCCATATCAACAAGACAGGCACATGGGCGAGATGGTCTCAAAGTCAGCCAAACAGGCTGGTTCTGTTCTCTAATTGCCGTGGATGTGAATGCCACTCCTGAGTGACCACAAACACTCAACATTCAAAGGATTCATGAGTATCATTAATTGCACAACAGCTTCTACAGGATTCAGTTAGAGGCAGGAGACCCATGTCAGGCACTGTTCACTGACGTAACAAAAACGTGGTCCCTGCTTTGACACACAAGAGTCTCCAATCTCCAGCCCATAACCTACCCCACACACCTGTGGCCTAGAGGAAACTCCACTGGCGCTGAGCTCTGCTCCTATGGATTTCCATCAAGGCCAATATTGCTCTGCACAAACATCTCAGTCCCATCAGTGGAATGGAGGAGCCCGCAGATCTTATCATCCAACAGCCTCGGTTCTTCCCCTGGTTTTCTGCACCCTGGTAAATGTGGCCAGTGTATCCTCCCCTTCAGCTGTTCTCAGCTTCTGTGCAATGGCAGTGGTTTTGGGGGAGCTGAAAAACTTTTCTTTCATTTTTTTTTTAAGATGGTATCTAAGCCATCACACAGGAAAAAAAAAACAACAGGTTTTTTGTTCCTCTGTGGCCATGAAGAAATCCTTCAAATGCCACACCCTGGGGGGATTATATTTACTGAATAATCAGCACCAGGGAAGGGACACCAAGGATTCACAGATGATGCTCAAGGATATTAATTTTTACTGGAAGTATTGTGTTCTTGGGCACCAGATGACTCGTGCTTGGTCCCATATGGCACAATAGCCTTGAGCAGTCTTCTCCTTTGGGACATATTTGGTGAAACATGATGTCCCTCTTGTCTTCCCTCTGCCCAGGGTTTGCACAAACCCCCTTCACTGTTGCAGAGAAGAGGCACCACGTGACAAGTTTTAACCTCTGGCAAACCCTGGAAGGCTGAGAAGGGGAAATGAGTGCAAATCACTCCTCTTTTTTTTTTGCAGGTGAATTCACACTTACTTTCTTAATTCACCCTGACTGGTGCAGGGAGAGCAAAACACCCCATCTCCTGCAGAAGTTACATTACAACAGCCCCTCATAGTGGAAGCTCTTTCCATACTGGCTGAAGCTTTTTCCTCTTTGAAAGGCAAGAGCCCTGAGCCTTTCGCTTAGGGCAGCTTTTTTTCTCTGCCCTGATGAGACAGGCCCAGTGCCAGCCCACACTCACCGCCTTCTTGGACTTCTTCTTCGTGGAACGTGCCTTCTTGGCCTTCTCGATGACAGAGTAGAGGGCGAAGCAGAGCCGGGCCATGCGCGGCAGGTCACAGATGTTAATATCAAAGTCCAGCCGCTGCTTCCACACTGGCTCTGAACACACGTTCACCTCAGAGCTCGACACCATCTTGCAGAGCATCTCATTGCCATGGAAGAGGCCTGCCTGCACCACCAGCTGAGAACGAGAGAGAAGAGCACACAGGGGTCAGTGCTGACCTCATCTGACAGGGGGGTGATTAGAATGGGCCTGGGAGAGAAAACAAACACTCCCGGGCTCTACTCCCATTTCTTGCCACTTTCCTTTCCTTCTTCATGTCCTTGGGACAAAGCATTTACCAGTATTCACCAATTTGCTGGAATCTGACAGACGGCGCTGTAAGCACTTCTGCTATGGCCTCAAACTTATGACCTCTGGCCAACTGTCAACCATGCACCCTAGTGTCCATGCCACCCCAGCCCTTGCCACTGATGCACCCTCAGACCTTGATCAAGACCCTTCACTTCTCAGTGCACTCATCGCAGAGGCATCGCTTCCTTGAACCCACCACTAAGTGTGCATCATGGACTCTACTCTGTGCTCTGTTCACAGAGGAGACAAATCTGCTGCAGCCCCAGCAGGTGAGCCCATCTCTCTTGAGCTAGAGACACACGAAGCTCTGGAAGTCCCCGGTGTGTCAGCCAACATGGTCTCAGTTCCTCTGGTGCTGGGCTACATCAGGAAGCCCAGTGGGCAGAGACAATTTACCACACCTTAACCACTGAGAGGCAGGAAGGGTCCAGGAGAGGAACTGGGCCACACACCACAGGGAAGCCAATCATCAAGAACCTGGCAGGGGATAGGCTATGATGGAAGTAAATTAATAGTGTGTGTTGAGGGGGGGTGGAAGGTGGAACCAGCCTGGCTCCGGCACAAGTCCCGTAGCACATCCACTGGTAAAGTACAAAGCTATCTTTCTGCAATCTGCAAGGTCTCTGCAAGCCTCTGCCCATGCCCGTCACAGTACAGGGATGGCGCTGCCTCCCTCCTGGTCTGTGTTAACCCAGGCTCTACAAATTGTCACCAGTCCAGGTCCCCTGCCCACACTGGAAGCTGCTCACAGGGGAGTTGGACCAAAAGGTTTAACCCTCTTGCTGTCACCTATGAATCTCAGTCCTCCACCACCCAGTAACAAGACCAGAGCCCCAACAGATAGGAATGTCCACATATGGCACAGCCAGTGCATTCTCCATCTTCTTCTCGCTTGCTTGCCCCATGTTATGGACAAACCATTCACCTCCCAGAGCCCATCCTTTTTCCATTCCCCTCCAGTCCCTTGCTTCCAGGCTCACCTCCTCACCCTCCACCCTCTTCTCTAGTAGAGCCCCCTTTCTCTTCCTCTGCTCTTGCTGGTCTCCAGTATTTCTGCATCTGCACCAAGCAAGGTCACCACAGGCCAAGTGGCTGAGCTCACTACTCAGAAACCCACAGCAGGGGTTTCTAAGAATGTGCTGCTTGCTCAGGGAGCTGTTAGCTAGCGACCTCCCTCCCCCTTCCTGTTGTGCAGCATTTTAGAGGCAGCCCCAGAGCTGAATGAAGGCCAATGTGGTGAAAACACGTGACCTCAGGTTTTGGATCCCGGCTTTCTTTAACGCATGCAATAAACAACAAAACCCCCCACAAACCCAGCCTGCACATACCTTCATCCTCTCATCAGCGTTGACCTTACTGCCTTGCACCAGATCAATATAAAAGGGCTGCTCAAGGGACCACAGAGACCCACTGTTTGGCTAGAGAGAAGGGAAATAACAGAGCCTAAGTCAGAAAATGAACTGGGAGGAAGACCACCCTGCAAGGAGGCAAGCAGGGGTCCTGCAACATAGCAGCAGTGCATCCTCCCAGCCCTCCACTGAGTTATTCCCCTTGCACTGGGTGTTTGTGGGGGCACAACGTTTATACTACACATACAGATTGCCCAGGGAGCGGATGCCTCTCTCACCGTAGAGATAGTATTTAGTCTTCATCCAGGCATTTCAGATCTATATTTTCCCGTAACGTACCAAGGCCCAGAGAGACTACATGATTTGCCCAGGGTCACCTGGCTGGTCAGTGGCAGAGTCAGGAATAGACTGCATCTTTCCTGAGTCCCAGCTTAGTGGTCTATCCACTAGGCCACACATTGGCCAGGGGGCACAGTTCCTGCTCATGCCAGGGCTAAATTTGGCTCAGCAAAAGTAAATTATTTGTCCAAACCCAAACTGAGACACAGGCTAGGAGCTGGGATGAGAACCGAGACGCTCCAGGCTCCCAGTCCTGTGCTCAGACTTCCTGCCTTTGGAAACCAGGGGCCTTCCCCATTACAGGTTTCTTTGATGTCTGAATGAAACATGACTTGCAGTACTGCCTCGTGCAGTAATTGAGGAAGTTCTCAGTGTTGCTGCAGATGTGGGGAAAGCTGTCCACCCTGCTTGCTAGGCAGATGACACTAGCATCTCAGTCAGCACCACTGTGGGAAAAGGAGGGAAAGGACAAAAGGGCATGCTAGGGGACGAGACTCTGGGGAAGAAGGATGGTCAAGTGCCTCTACCTTTTTCTTGGGCAGTGGGGGAGGCTTGGCACCCATCTTTGGGGGATGGGTGATGCAGTTGGTCTGCTCATCTCGCATGGCAACGATGGTGGAGTAGTGCACCATCGTCAGGTGGGGCATCAGGCCCTGGTGCAGGCAGCTGCGGATGTACTGGTGGAAGAAGGAGCAGAGAGAACAGAATAATCTGTGCAGAACGGAAACAGCCTGGAAGCCAAGGGGATGTGGAATGGGCAGTGCTGGGGGGAAGCAGGCCTGGCTCGAGCAGGGAGCGAGGAGAAGGCAGTGTGAACATGACCCTGCAGCCCCCAAAGTTAGTTATTTCTGACAATTCCTCTATAAACTTGCCTCTTTCCTGGGAGACGTGTCTGACACAACGAACCCTGGAGACTTAAGCAAAGCTCCAACAGTGCATGGCTCAGGCACCTGAAGGCTTCCCTGACATAAGGGAAAGCTGCTGGAAAAGCCTAATGTTCCAGACAGCAGAGAAGCCAGTCATCAAAGCAAAGGGCACACACCAGAGGATGCTACACGTGACTTCTTCAGCAGTGGGGGTACTGCTCTATGTTGCCAGCTTAGAGGCAGAGCTCTCTCCCCCAAAAAGACTAATACTGTGGCAGGCCACATCCCAATAGAGGACACTGCCAGCACATCTAGACGGGTTGTGGATGTGAAGCAAGAGCAGGAGCATCCTACTGTTCCATCCCAGGGGACAAAGGGCCTTTGGGAAAGAGCCCAGCAGCAGACAAAGGCATGGGACTCACCTGGAACTGGTACAGAGGGTAGTTCCCATAGAGGTATTCACATTTTCCATTCACCTGTAGGGTATAGTCCTCTGGGCTCTCCACAGTCTGGTGGCGGAAAACGGTAGCTTGCTTCTTGATGGCGTAGCTCATTAATGTGCTGGGGTATTCCCTGGGGGAGATCTGGAAGGTGAAGCTCTCCTGCAGTCCCAAGAAAGCAACACGGGCACTCAGATACAGGCTCAGCAAGGGCTCAGCCCAGCACAGAAAACAGCAGCAATAAGAGTCAAGGACCCCAAGATGCAGAGGAAAGAGTAAAATACCAGGGATAGACCCAGAAATGCAGAGAAAGTCAGAAGAGCAGAGCATGACTGCAGGCCAAAGCAGACTGGAGCAGCCATCTCATGTGACAAGCACAGGCCTGGGAGCTAGGATCTTCTCAAGCCCTGTACCAGGAGCTGCCACCTCCATCCCTGGGTCCTTGGACAAGTTATTCCAAACCTCCTGTGGCCATCTGCTGCAAGGGGGAACAAGGCTACTAAACAGGCCTGACTGCTGGGCAGGTGCTAAGCATTCTGGCTGGCTGCATCCAGCCTGAGCAGGCAGCTCCATGTCATGTCCAGGCACAACTTGAAAAGATCAGAGTTAACAGAGAGCAGCAGGTGGGAGCAAGAGGTTACACCAGGTGCCCTGGGGGACACAGACTAACACCTGGAAGCAGCGCATTTAGATCATGAGATCATCCACCTCTTTCAACCTGTTCCAGCAGCTACAAATTTTGCAAACACACATACACAGGGGACCTTGGCTTGTGGGGCATGGGCAAAGCTGATCTGGGAAGGGTATGGCTCCATCACCACCTGTTAGCTATCAGCTCATACAGACTCCTTCCCAGCTATCCCCATCAACGGTAGCCCAAGCAGTCAAAACTGCTCCCGAACACACAGGGTTACTGCCTGCCCCTACCCCAGCACCTTTTCCCATGTTTTGGTTCCTGGATTAGGAGCTAGAATTGAGAGCAAAAGCACAGACAAGGAGTTCACGGCTTTACCCCGCCAGATTCAAACATGACGTTGACAAAGATGTTCTTGTGGGGGACGTGCAGAGGGCTGGTCCCGAGGCCTTTGGCCAAGGGCTCTAGCTGCAGGGGAAAGCTGTACTCCATCCAGGCCATCCAGCTCAGCTGCTGCCGCTTCGCTGCCCTCTCCTCACAGAACTGGCGCATTTTGGTACGGAAGTCGCTCACCTCTGGGTCCGGCACAGAGTCAAACTCGTGCAAACCTGAGCAGTGTGGTCAGAGAACAGACGCATGTAAGGACAACCGCACAGCCCTAGGGCAACCAGTCTCTAATAATCAGCTGCATGGGGAGATCAGACCCTCCACTCAGGGTCAGACTGATCACTATATTTGGGGTCAGGAAGGACTTTTGGTCACACTACTATGGACTGTGGGGTTTTTTGCCTTCCTCTGTAGCAGGGTTCATTGCCTTTTACCTGGGATCTTTTGAATGTATACTAACAGCCCTAAACAGAAGTAGGACATTGGCTGCCACGGTCCCACTCCTTTACCTGTGGCAGGTTAGGGTGTTGTGTCTCATATCGCGACAGGGTTGGCAGCAGTTTTACAAAGAGTATGAATTGTATAGGGTGGTTTGGATAGGGGTGATGCTGCCTCAGGCAGGGAGTTGAACTAGATGTGACCTCTGGAGACTTCCAGCCCTGCCTCTCTCCGATTCTTTGGAAACACCACTTCATACACAATAGAAACGCCCACAGCATCAGCTTCTGCTGGCTGCATGCTTACACCAGTCTGACACAGAGACTCCAGCTGGGAGACTGGGATGAGAGGAGAGACTGCGCCCCTTCCCCAGCCAATGCACACAGTGTTCCTCTATGTGGACTGCTGCTAGGGTTGAGAGTAAGCGAGCTCCTCTAGGGACTGTGCTCCTGGACACTTCTGCCCCCAGTGAAAGCAACCTGCCCCCAGTGCAAGGACTGGGGAGGCAAAAGGATGGGACTGACCTTTGCCAATGAGCAAGCTGATCTGGGAATTAATCAGCTTCTTGACCCGGTCACCTTCTCGCGCCACGAGCCGCAGAACAGGCAGGAAGGGCTGGATGTCACAGAGACGCCGCTGCTCATCCTCCAGCTCCTGCTGCTCAGCTGTCTGATTGATGCAGGTGAAGACATAGGCCTCGGGATCATTGAGCATGTGATATAAAGGTTCATACTGCGCATGCTGCCAGACCACCTGGAACAAACCAACAGCCAGGTGAGGCCACTGGCGCACTGGCTGAACCACCGCACTCCTCCCAGCCCCTCCATTCATTGCCTGTCCTATATCCATGGCCTCCCCAGGAAGTCAAGCCATTCCGCTGGCAGGTGCAGCCATTAACTGGAGTCCTGCTGTACCAGGGTCCCTACCCTCAGAGGCAGCATGCTGCAAGTCCCTACCCTCAGAGGCAGCATCCCGAGAAGTTCTGGACTCCACATCTGCAATGACACCCTTGGGTAGTGCCGCAGTGCACTACAGTGGTGCATCTACACATGCACTTTAATGAACGTTAGTTTATTTTAATGTGCATAAAAGCCTCGCTAAAAAAAAAAAGTGATATTTAGTTAATGAACATTAAAATAGGCTAACACACATTAAGCATCACTAAAAAAAAAAAAAAAAAAAT